TAATATTTCTTATTCTGTTTATTGTCAGCTGATGATAAATATGTCAGTTCAATGCAATTGTTTTATTCACATAACATAAATAGCTAATATACGTGTGAACTTTTGAAAAAACAATCACTAGACTTCACCTTTGTGAGTCAAAATGTGTACAAAATGTAATAGTATTGCTTTTCCTCAGTGGCCTGGGTATTTTCTATACTTTACTAGAAGTTAAATTTTTATCAATTTAGCCTTATAAGGTAATCTGAAACTCAGACGCATGATCACATGACTGTTTGAATGCTTGTTATTCTGCTTGTGATGATAGACTGTCAAGGTTTTCAAGAAAATGTCAGGTATAGTTTAAGGTTCTAGGAGGTGATGATGTAATACTTGGCATTTACTGCTTCCCATGTGTTTAAAAATATAGCTAAACAACACAAATATACAGATGGTCACTTATGGTTATATTTTCTGTGAAATTAGGTGATTCATGTGTACATTTTTTAAAGGAACAATAATTTGTGGGATCTCGCTTATGCCTGTTCATCAGCCGCTAAGTGAACTAAAACAAACAAAACATCCTTTTTATTTGTTGAAACTTGTAATGTCCCTTTGTTATACTGGAATGAACTAATAAATCTTTGTTGACAAATGAATTCCAGTGTAGACGAACCCAATACTACCTCAAGGTCCATTATCACATAACTTTTTTGTTGGTGGCTTGCAATAAGTTCTAAGAGGCATATTTCATCCTCTTCTAGAGCTCGTTAGCTGGATATACCCATAGGATAGTTTTCCTACCACCAAACGAGTTACGCTATAATGAATCTACGAAAGTACTGAGAAGCCTATATGCCAACTAAAGAAAATCAAACGATAAACGTTGTACAAAGGACGACTGATGTAACTCAATAGGCTAGTGGTCTGCTTTTTGGCTTTTTGATATTCATCACTAGGGCGTATCTGTAGCCAGGAAGAATCTGGTTTTCTTTCTTGGTGACTAGAACCTGTGTTTGTCACTCACTAATGAAGTCAGAAACGTAACTCAGAGATTCAATTCTAAATAAGACTTTGACTTCTACACTGAGAGATAGAGATACGAACCACTGGTGAATAAACAGTTCCGTCTTGGTTGCAGATACGCTTTGTTGAAGAATGCCAACAGTTATGAAGCTAAAGTGGTCCACGACTTACCTTCGACTAGCTCTCAGCGTACAACACCAAAATATAATGCATCACAATGTAACATCACTAAACTTACAGAAGCACTAGACGCTTGATCGATGAACTTTTATCAGTGTTAAGCACTAATGACTAAACAGTTCTATTAATTACTCACTGGAGACCGATTCGTGTATTTTTATCCTTCGATATTACTGAAATCGTTATTCTGTATAAAATAGAGTATTGATATTTGTATAATTTGTTTAAAACATTCATTTCTAGGTGTTTCCTAAGTTCCCAGGAGATCATTGAGATGAGACATGTCCTATGTTATAAATCAGGCAAATATGACTTTCTCCTCGGAATAAGCAATATAATTAGTAGATGTCTGTACTCTCTGTTGTATAGGATGAATATGATCGTAAGATTATTCAAGATTTATCTGGTTTTAACAAAACAATAGAAAGTACACTGCGATTCGTTGGAGCATTAATATTCCATTGATAGTATATCTGTGACTACAATATAGGAAGATAAAGTTATAAATTTCAAAATGTTTCAGTCTTCCGAAGTATTTGATTCACTCTCTAAGAGTTTTGAGATGATGGACTCAATTTAAGGCTCTGAAGAATTCTTTTATGTTTTTGATGGTGTTGTGTTCCCTGAGCTAGTTGGCTTCATCATGAAGCTTCCAATGTCATTGTAAACAGCATCATCATTAGCACGAAATTCAACAAGAAGTGAGACGTGGGTTTTCTTTGCTTAGAAGCTTGTTCTGATGACCTTGGGTTTAGTTTGTTGTCTTGCCAACTTGAACTCTGACCTTTCATGTTTCTTTTTCATAGTAGTTTACAGATTTCAACAATGTCAATACTTCTGTTGATTACTGACTGACCTGAACGACAAAATTCTAAAAATTCGTTTTGCATTCCCACTATCCAGGATTTCCACAATTTGCCCAGTCGAATTCATGTCCACAATAGTCTATATGCATTGAATTGAGCGAAGATATATTATGACGCTTTGTTGCCAGTTGGTGTTCACATAGATAGACACGAGAATGGAAGCCACTCTGTCCGATACAGTGATTTCGGCAATTTCTGAAGTTTATTTTGTAGAAAACGTTTAGATTGCCTACTTTTGCTATTGTATCTTTTGGTCTGCATGGTAAAGAGTGAGGAGACTTTGTAGATTTGTGAAAAACAGCGATACTAAAAGGCTTCAAGAACTCAGTCATGCTCTAAAATGCGTTCTTCATACAGGGAAAGACAATCTGTTTGTTAGTTTTCTAGGATGACCTCTTGGTTGGCAATCAATTAGACAAACATATGTAGGTGAAGTCACGTGAATAGCCGTTCTTCTGGAAAACTGGAACTAAATAGTTTTCATATTTTCTCCGAAAGGTTGATGTGCTAAAGTGTATCTTGTTGCTACTAAAGTTAAAGATTTGATCCATGTGAATTGGTTTTCTGTATACTTCAGTTTCCAATTTTCACGAATCTATTCTAGTGATTAGAACATCGAAATATGTAATTTTGTTATTTGATTCCTCGTCATTTGTGTATTTGATATTGTCAAAAATGTTGATTAGTTTGTAAGCATTTTTCAATTCGTTTCTTTGAGTGATGACAAACGTTTCATACACAGATCAAATCCTGAGTTTTGGTTTGATCAATGGTAATACCACAGTTCCCAGTCTTTACAGTACTGCTTCTGTAATTAGTCGTGATACAGGTGATGCCATAGGTGTTCTTTCTGTTTGTTTGTAGAGTTTTCTGCCAAATCAAAAATATACTGTGAGGTGTAAATCAAATAATTCTATCAAACTTGAACATTGTACTTGTGTATGTTCCGAGAGGTGTGTATCACTGGTGAGGAGAAGATTCACTGAAAGCTGAGTAGTCAGAAACTACTCAGGTTGATCTGTAGGATTTCGTCAGCCAATCAGAGTGACCTAAACACTAGCTGGCCATTCCCTCTGTATAGAACTGAGCTCATCAACAGTATGTCTGGAAAAATTCAGCTCATACAGCCAAAATCTAGAGATCAGACTGAATGATTTCTAACTACTCAATTTGTCCAATAATACGTTTCAGTAATTCATGACATTCTTGTATCAAAGATTGCACCTTATGATCTTGGTTTGGCGCTTTCCAAAATAAAATCCTGTTAAGCTGTTTTAAAACGTGGACCGTCCGATTTTTAAATCACTTGGAAATTGATCATTCTATTTTAGGTTATCCATTCGATCTCATCGAAAAATACTTCAGACTTCATCATCAACCTCAGTTACCAATAAAATTTAGCAAAATTTTAGTCTTATCTTAAAAGAAGAATACCTTGGGAATTTGAATCAAACTACCAACGCCTTTTATAATCACAATCGTACGAAATCTCTTCGTTTCATTTTGCGCGTGCACACATAATTGAAAGACTCCATGACAATGGAAAACGAATCCAGCATAATCTTTAAAAAAATCACTAAAAAAACTGTGAACCACACTGTACTGAAGAGAGTCAATTCTTCCTTCGTTTTGTATACAAGAACACCAGCTAGTAGCTTAGCTCTACAACGTAACTTCATCAATATCAATATGAGTAGTGGACATGAATATGACTAGGAATATGTGGAAATCTTAAGTGAAGGGAACAGACCAAATGCCAGTGAATTTCTGCAAGTGGAGAACCCTAGTTAGTCAGCAGTCAATAGACAAAACGGTAGTATTTGTTTCAAGTTGGTATTCATCATGGACTGAAATCAGTTAGAAGAACATTAGAAAACTGGGAGCAATAGACAGCTGTTTCGTTCTAGTGAGGGACTTTACACCAGTGAACACCTATGATTCCACCAAGGGTGATGAATACCAACTTGAAAAGAATCGCTAGATCACCACAAACCCCTAATTGAAACGTCAGTAACCGACCTATCACCGAACAGAAAAGTGGAGGAATTACACCAACTTCAGAGTTTGTTGAAGCAAAAAAATCAGTTGAAATGTGTGTTCAGACAATAACAGTAGAGTTACAGAAAAATCTTCTATGTTCCTAAGACAAAGGACTACGCCAATTATGGAGAAACACTCATAGCTCATTTCTGTCTAAAGTTCACACTGATACCTTCACCTTAAATGATTATGAAAGCTTCCTGATTGTATCATTCAGTTCTGAGAACACAAAATCACCAAATCTTAGGAGTGATATGGTCAAAAAATCTTTAAGCTGACTAAGTAAAATTGACATTAATCAAAAGCTATCTTATGATGTCACTTGTTTTATTCTATCATTGACTGGACCGAATTGATCATTCTCTATTGTTATATGGGCTTCTGCGTGGATACCTCGATATTGCCGGTCATTTTAATTTTGATAATAATGATGAATATTGGCTAGTAGTGGAATCCAGGAAGCACACTAAGAGGCAGGTTCATTCAACTGATGAGTCTTAAATAAGACTAAACACACATTCTGAATTCCACTCCTAGCTATTATCCACTACTGCAATGAAAGCTTCCTTATCCAATAAGTGAGAGAATTGACAAAAGTAGGGAAAATGAATCCCTGGAATCCAACTCACTGGGTAAATGGTGATATTCTTATCATTAGATCTTCTGGTTCCAGTTTCATTCTCTAATAGGTTCATTGTCACGCAATGCTGACGTGAACCAAAAGATCTTTTCAGTGCTAGTAGATTCTAATGTATTTCTAGCAATGATCTCCATCTTTAATAAAGCTAACTTAAAGGGAAACATTTCACAAAAAATACATACACACAGACACACGCACAGAGGAGTATGCATAAGATAACAACTAAAATTGAATACCTTACTTATAGAAAAAGAAATTGTTAAACATACTTTGTATTTTCTATTAAGCATACAGATATATTTGGTGATTTGTCCAACATTGGATACCCATCATAGGCATGACCTGGGGAACAACGTGTACTCAAACGAACATTATACGCATCACCAAGACTGCCACCATATAAACGTATATTTAAACTATCGGCATTATACTTATTCTGTGCATAATGTATACGTGAACGCTGTGAATGTAGAATAGTATCATTATGATTTGTTAAAGTATATTTCGGTGGATACTTTTCACCCGGAAATAATTCTATACATACTTTCTGAAAAGGCCAATTTGATCTATCTATTAAGAGAAAAAACATAAAGTTATTGAATAGAAATTTACAACTGTTTCTTTAAACAACTATGTAAAAGAATCAAAGTTCACGGTAATTTATCTTATAGTCTGAGTTTGAAATTTGTAGAGATTTATTTGTTGGTTTCAAGTAGATAGTCATCATGAACTGAAATCAGTTAAAGAATCATTGGAAATCTGGAAACATTGGACAGCTTTTTTGTTCTGTTATGAGGTTCCTTAGCAGTAAGCATCTATGACCCCAACACCGTCAGGGATTGACTCCGGGAGTTTAAGATTCTGTGGCCAACAATGTTACCATTCAGCCACTTTGTCGAAATCCAATCGTCTACATTCCCTATTTCTGTCACTTCACAATAAAACGTCACCTACATCCAATCCTAATGCAAAAATCTTTACTAATAATTCATTCAGATCATGAACTGCATTACTAGTGAGAAGTGCCTTGTTGGTTACACATGATTATCGATATTTTTTTAGTTGTGACCCCAAGGAGTGATTGATCGGAACTGACATTTAGACTCCTACGCTGACAAGTCCCGAATAGGATGAGACACACATCATGGATTCCGGGCGACTTTAAAGGTCATCCTAACAATTGTCAATCATATTGTAGTATTTTGACTGGGAGAAGAATTTTTCATAGAATGAAGAAACGTGATTGTTTTTTTATAAATTGTTAAGGCAGCCTTTAAAGTCGATCATGGATTTCAACTGCTAGCCGTTATTCATCATCATTGTCATCTGAAGAAGTCTGACAAGCCATCTATTGAATTATATTTCACCTACTTTCATGTGTGCACAAGTTTTGAATTAACTGGTCAACGAACATGTTCTAAAAAAACTACATTCGTCGAGGTTCCCGTGATTCGACTGAACAAATCGCATCTGTATATGCAGTAAGGAAAAACAGCCAGTACTCAGGGTGTCTTTAAAGGCTACCCTAGCATCTGTTCAGATAACCAATTACGTTTCTTTATTTGATGAAAAACTACTCTCCAAGTTGGAATATCTTAACCTTTAAAGTCACTCTAGCAACGATCGAAATTACCAATTATTTTTCTTCATTTTGGCTAGAAAGGCGGATTTTCATAAAATGGAGTAGCCAGATTGGTTATTTCAGTTGATTCTGGGGTAGTCTTTAAAGTCAATCTACTCTAAAGGCCACCCAGCAAGTGCCGAAATAACTAATCAGTTTAAGATATTCCGACTTGGAGAGTAGTTTTTCATCAATAAAGAAACATAATTGGTTATCTGAACAGTTGCTAGGTTAGCCTCGTCTAGTTACTCGTCTCTTCAGGCAACAATTAAAATAACGAATCAAGCTTCTAAATTCGATGACAAACTACCTTTCTAGTCGGAATGCAAAAAAACAGTTGCTTAATAAAGCAGCTGCCAAGGTCGCTTTTAAATTCGCCCTGAAAATACTCTTCACCAGCAGGAATGAAGAAACTCAATCAGTTATTTTATCGGTTCCTAGGGTGGCTTTTAAAGTTGTCTCAGATGTTGAGTTCCATTTTCGGCATGCAACACAAACAGTTATCTGCTTATGTGTATGTACGATAACTTTATAATACTCTGAAAGTTACAATCGCTCATGGAAGCTATTCAGGTTATAAAATGTATAATATAATTTCTAGTTAAATGACAGTAATTTATAGACGATAAAGCGTGGAAGACTGAGTAACCAGTGGATAGGCTGCCTACAGAAATATACTTACAGAATACTGCCAAGCAATGACTGTTTTGATAAGGCTTCTTTGACAAGTGAGAGGGTCTTATTTCCCATTTTCTCAAACCTTTTTTTCTTATTCCACTTCTTGATATCCCACGGTGACGTATTCTCTGCTTCAGTATTCTTTGTCTAGTGTGTTTTGACCAATGTTCCTTACTGATAATATCACTTGCTACCGTTGTCTTCTATACACATTCATATACTTCACCTTTTGAACTACTCCAATTATATTTTCTGCTGCATTATTTCGTTACTAAAGCCGAAATTTCTAATCTCGACCTTGACAGTTGCTTTATTCAATGTTTCAATTTGTATTATAGTTAATTGTTGTATGCTCCTCCGTATGTTTTAGTTTTAATTCAGGAAGTACAATATAAACAATCATGTATACAGAATACTTATTTGATTAATCCAGACTTAAATTTGACAAAAACCTATTTAACTCTCATTAACCTTACATATGATGCTTGTGTTCAAACTATATGTTATTTGCCATAAATACCGGTATATTTAAATTATGCCATACTTGAGTGGTTACTTTTAGTGTTTCTTTTAACTAAGAGACACGTTTGGTTACTATTGGTAACGGAGTAACAGGTATATAACCCTTTCATTAACTCGCATGACAAGTAAATTTGAGGACATATAGCTAACTTATTCATCATGGTTTTCCGATCAGAAAGAATATGACGGCAATTTTGGTCGGTTTCCTTTGATGATATATTGAAAGCAAAATTGAAGAAAAGTGTTTCCTTAACTACTGAAATTCAGTTCAGTTTGATCCGTCATTTACAAGAGTAATTCGAATTAACTTATCAATGCTCCAGAGATTAATGACTAGTGATATACTATGGTTATACATATATATGGTAGCGGTAACTTGACCAATAACCTTAAGCTTCACTCTTCAGCTTTTCTTGTTACCCCGGAAACTGAAAGAAGCCGTTAGACAATAAAAAGTTAGTTTTCAATTTCAAACACGTGCAAAACGTAACAGTTTATAAATGTTTTTAATGGCCTTAATATTTTCTACACCTTTCTAGAAAGAAACTAAGTCAGTACGAATGTCACGCGTGTGACTACTTGTTTTTCTGCGAATGTTCAGTCTGCGATGATCAAATGAGTTCGAAGGCCACTCTAGCCGCAATCGAAATAACCAATCAGACTTCTTTATTTTATGAAAATCAGCCTTTCCAGAGGAGCTGAATAAACCTAATTGGTTATTTCTACCGTTGCTAGAATGGCCTTTAGATTTGCCTGTCGCGATCAGTCGTGAAAGCTGTCAGGGAATTTCAGGTTTGTCTGATGAATCTAGAAGGTAGTGATTCGCTTCATAACGGTTAGGAAGAAACAACCATTCGGTGTACCCTGGTTTTAACTGCTTCTCTGACTAACTTCAGTTTATGGGGAACACTGTGAAGTCATATTGATCCTATTGTTGTTGGGCATGACAAGATTGGTAGTCATTAAATATGTGACCTTGCAACCAAGTTATATTGGCGAATATTCTCTAGTTTGGCATTCTGTTGTGTCATTTTCTTGCCACTTATAATTCTACTTGATATTTTGTCTTTTCACCTCTCAAATCTTCATCGGTCGATTGTTACCACTGCATGTATTTCCGTATATTTCTCTTTATACTACTTATATACATTTTTATAAGTAGCTGTCAATATAATAGCACAAAATGTGTACAGTGAAATGGCGAAGAACTAAAGATAAAACGAGTGGATATATTGTTGCCCTCAAATCTTATTTTTTATCTTTATTGGAGTTCCTTAAGAAAGTGACTATGATGTTCACTTTGTAAGCAGTATCAGTGAGAAATTTTATCTAGGGGTAGTATTCACCACGAACTGACGTCATTTCGGGAACCACTGAAAATCTTAGAGCACTGGACAGCTGTTTCGTCCTAGTACAGGAAGCACCCACGACCCAAAAAAGAGACAGAACTCAGGATCTTCAATTTTCATGGCGAATGCGCTGACCACCTAGCTACTAAGTCGGTTTTCACTATTTCACACTTTCTGACTCCTGTCAATTCATATAAGGTCTATCACATAAGGTCTCGAGTTGATATCCAATTCCTTTCCGACTGGTCGACCTCACAGGTCATGGCTTCTCCTTAGAACTTCGTGATATCCATCTGGAAGCATGTCAATAATGAGCACTATACAGTAATGTATTTTTGTGGTGAATAGGGATTTTCAGTGAATCCCCAAACTAATTTCAGTCCGTGATGAATACTACTTCTAAATTAATAATCCCCATTCATCTCAAACAAATAAAATTTATCGACTGGAAAACAAATACAGCTAGAATGAGGTTGAAGGGTCTGTTTTAAAAAAATTAAAAACTTTCACTGGTATCAGTGTTACAATAATAATAAATATTGTAACAAGTAGTGTTCAGGTACATGTTCTGAATAGCTCTGTGGTAAAGTTTCTGACGTCAACAGTGAATGATGTAGGTTTCATTCATCAGAAAAATACCAACTCGCAGTTACATCTCGTTGATAATTACAAACAAGCAAGAAATCTAGATGGAAGAAGGCTTTTTAAGGATCCGTTCTCTATGGATGAACACTGGAACTCTTTGGAAGAGACGTGAAAAGAAACCTCTATAACCATATTAGAAGGAAGAAAAAAGAAGATCAAGAACAGATTTCGACAGAAGCTGATAGAGGGTAGGAGGATGATGAAGCAGAAGATAAACCAGTCTAATGGTGAACGACCAGAAGAGGAACTGAGTACAACGTATAAAACACTGGACAAAGAAGTGAAGAAGAGTGCACGCAAAGACAAAAGACACTTCTGCGAAACCCGGGCAAGTGGAGCGAACAGGCTGAGGGCTGGTAGGAGAGACTTGACAATTTAATTACTAAAGAAAAGAAACAAAGGAAACGATGGGCCGACCACTTCAAGAAGATCTTGAATCGACCACCACCTGCATTTCGTCCAGAAATACCATCTGCAGCCTCAGAAATACAAGTGAACACAAGCTCTCCAACGAAAGTCGAAGTCCTGAACGCCATAAGGCTAATTAAATGCTTCAAAGCAGCAGGACCGGATGGAATCTCTGCAGAAGCACTGAGAACAAACACAGGGACAACAGCGGACATGCTCACACCACTATTGCAGAAGGTCTGGAAGGAAGGAAAGGTACCTGCCCATTGATTGGAAGAACGGTTAACTTGTCAAACTCCCGAAGAAGGGTGATCTAAATCTTTGCAATAACTGGCGCGGAATCATGATCCACTCCTGTCCATCCAAAGCAAGCAAAATATTAAGATGCATCATCTTGGAGAGACTAAAGGATGCGCTGGATTCAAAACTACGACCGGAACAGACAGGCTTCAGGAAGAACAAATCATGTGAGGACCAAATTGCAACGCTTCCCATCATCATAGAACAAAGTATAAAATGTCAGTCAACTCAACTCTACTTCAACTTCATCGACTTTGAGAAGGCCTTGGACAGCGTCGACCGAGAGGTAATTTGGAAACTGCTTCAATACTACGGAATACCGCAAACCTTTATCAATCTCATTCAGCAACTATATGAAGACTCTACATGCCAAGTTATTCACAATGGGAAGCTCAGAGATGCTTTTGAAGTGAAGACAGGAGGGAAACAAGGCTTCCAGCTACTATCACCGATCATCTTCCTGTTTATGGTGGACTGGATCATACAGCAAAAAGTCAGTAGCAAGAAGAAGGGGATACGCTGGACCACGGAAAATAACAAAGAAGACTTGGATTTCGCCGATGACTTGTGTCTGATGTCACACAAACTTGAAGATCTATAGGTGAAAACTAACGAGTTGTCAGAAGGGGCAGAGCAGGGAAGACAGGACTTCAAGTGAACGTAGAGAAGATAGGGATGATGAAGATACGCAACCGACGCCGCCACCTTTCAACAACAACAAGAAGCTCCAATCACCACCAACAGGAGAAACTTAAAGAAAGTGGCCTCTTTCACCCACCCTACTAGGCAACATCGTTTCACCTACAGGCGACATAGACGAATACATCAAAACCAGGATCACAAAGGCATCAAGACAGGCTTTTAGTGACCTGAAACCAGTGTGGCGATCTCCTGCAATCAGTATAAAGCATGAACAATATCCAGACTTTCAACACCAATTCAGTCCAGTCAGTGCTTGCATGTGATGGTTTAAAGACTTGGCGCGTTACAAAAGCATTTCCAACAAACTACAGATATTCATCCACAACTGCCCTCGCTGGCTCGTTACTGAAGCTCAGATGGCCAGAATAATAAGAATAAGCAACAAGAAACTCTGGCTGGCTGGTACCGAACCAACCAGGAACCTATCGTTTAACAAATATGCAGAAGAAAGTGGAAGTGGAGGTGGATTGAGCATGCACTGAGGAGACCATTCGGGGACATCACGCGCCAGGCACTCGAGTGGAACCCAGATGGGAGACGACGAGTTGGGCATGCGAGATGAGGGTGACATGGAGGAGATCGTGTGAGGAAGAAATGAAAGCTTCTGCGTAGTGGTGGTACCAGGTTGAAAAGATTGCAGAGAAGATAGTGGAATGGAGACGTGCTAATGAAGCCCTATTTTTCGCTAGGAACCCAAAGGACAAATAATAAAAATAATAGTAATGGATCCGTTCTCAACATCAAACGTCGAGAACAAAATTACTGAACAAAAGAAAAGTGTACGACTGGTCATTTGCGATCCTGCATTTAATCCTCAGTGAAATGTACATATAATAGTGGCGATCGCCAAGCCGATAAGAGAGAATAGTGTATTATTCAGTTAATAAAACATTTTAGCTGTGAGGATTTAGGAACCTTGTGGTATAGTGTTATATCTTTTTCCTCCAACTTCAATGGTAAAAAAGGTTTCAGAGTAGTCCAGTGTTTCCTCCGTTTTTTAAATGTACCTTCCAAAATAGTATTTCACTTGCTACAGCGTGCACCTACCACTGAAATAACCATCTTCAATGATAATCTAAGATGAATGAAAACACATGTTCTGTAGCAAATATCTTCAGTAATCTCCCTAAGATGATTGATTATTTTGATCCTGTTTCATTAGGACAGCACGATTTTTGACTAGTCACATTTTAGATATTTATTATAACCATTTCTCCTTTGGGTTCATAGTGAAATATAGGGCTTCAGCAGCACACCTCAATCACACTCTCTTCTCTGCAGTCTTTTAACCTGACTCCACCACTGCCCACAGGCTTCCATTCCTTCGTCATACCATCTCATCCATGTCACCCTCAACTCGGATGCTCAACTTGTCGTTTCCCATTCATCTTCCACTCAAGGACATGGTCTGGCCTGTTGCGTGATGCTCCCAAATGGTCTTATTAGTCTATGCCCAATCCAATCCATCTGCAGTTTCGTCTGGATATTTGTTGGGTGATAGGTCGTGGTTGGTTCGTTGTTTATTCTTATTATTCTGACCATCTGATCTTCAGTGTCAGTAACGAGTATGGGCAGGCAGTAGCAGTTAATAAATGTCTGTAGTTTGTTGGAAATGCTTTTCTTAAATCACCAACTCACTCAGCCCTTACTTACCAGATATTTAACATCAGGCATATCAGTTAATTAGTGTTATCACTTGTATTACACCGTCGTTGACTGGACCGAATTGATCAGTATCTGTTGGCATATGGGCTCCTATGTGGATGCCTCGACATTGCCTGTCTTTTTAACTATGTATGGTAATGATGGGCAGTGGCTAGCAGTGGAATCCAGGATGCAGATTTCGCCCTATTTGGGACTCTTCAGTTGGATGTACCTGCCTCCCAGTGTGGAGTGCTGTCCCCACCGGTACTCGAACTCGCGAGCGATCGCTTCAAAGGCCAGGACGTTATCCACTACACCTCCAAGCCACGATAGCTACTTCTTGTGCGACGGGTATAGATTTAGTGTTATTGCTTGTACTGTTAAAAAGATAGGGAATATCGAGGCATCCGCATAGGAGCCCATATGCCAACAGATACTGATCAATTCGGTCCAGCCAACGACGGTGCAATACAAGCGATCGCTCCCGGGTCCGAGTCCCGGTGGGAACAACACTCACAGGGAGGCAGGTAGATCCAGCTGACGAGCCGGAAGTAGGACGAAATGTGCTTCCTGGATTCCACTGCCCATCATAACCATCCAAATTAGTTAGTAGTGGAGGCTTTTCGTTTTATTTTAGGACTAGCCAAATGGATGCACATTTGCCGTACTGCTGGTACTATCGCTAAGAATAGGAACCACTATCCATTTCTGCGGGCCTTGAAGCCTTTTCCACCAAATCACATAGTCGCTACACTTATATTCTAACTAGTCGCTCTTGGTTGGCTAAAAACTCACTGAGATTGGTTAGTTGTGTATTTCCGAGTCAACTTCACTGGATAAATTTATCTTCATTTGCTAAGTAATTTTATTCATGAGGGTAATTCAGCCAAGATAAGTTTACGACGCATCTCTGTAGGAAAATTCTGAACTGTAGCTAGCCTTTGCTATTTTAGGAAAAGTTTTGGTAGAACAATTCTGCGTCATTTCTCACCTTTTAAGAAAAGCGTTTGAAGTTACCATAGAGTATAATAAGTGTTCAACAAAGTGTCCCGCCTATAAGCGAATTATATATATATATAAATATATATATATATATATATAATATATATATATATATATATATATATATATATACTGTGGAAGTATTCACTCATAAAAGGTTAACCAATTTCTTACACATTTCTGATTTTGTCACCCGTAGAGCGTGGGTTTTACTTTCTTCCCATGGCGCATTGTAAGTAGATGATGCCGAGAATTCCACCCGATTTAACACATTTGTACACGGTGTTAGAGTAAGCCATAAGGATCTATTGTAGCCAATGAAATATTGAATACTGCAGAAATGAAAACAAAAATAAATCACTGGTGAATAATCTTTAATGATTGGATCATTGAAACACGACACAACAAGTAGATAAATAAAGTGAAGGAAATACTTTTAATGTAACCAGTCAAAATCAACTGAAATATTGTAATCAAACACCTGCATAGTCATCATTGAAGTTCTGAGCAATAAACAAGCATTATTTTGCTTGAATTGACAAGTCGGGTAGGATTCGAGCTAGAAACCTGTTGCAGCCAAACATTTTCCTTGGAACTTTGTTTGCAGAGATATTAACTTTCTGACCAACATTAAGATTTTGTTCGATACTTGTTGGTATATTGAGTCAACTTGCTCGACCTCAGTTAGCAGATCATTTCCTACGCGGATGCCTTGACACTGCCGAATATTCAGCATAATGTATTCATCCTGGTGACCTGCAGTTGAGCCTAGAATAAATATTTCGTCCTATTTGGGACTCGTAAGCTGGATACTCTCATATCCCAGTGAAATCACAAGTATCAGCAAGCAACAAGCGATGCACGTTGCACATGAGGTGACTTTTGTGCTCTGGTGGCCTAGTGGATAGTGCCTTAGCATCTGAAGCAATGGGTGCTGGGTTTGAGTCTCAGTGAGAATAACACCACTCACTCGGCTGTAGGTACACTCAGCTGTTGAGTTCAAAATTGGACGAAACGTGCCTCCTGGATTCCCCTTCAAGTCAACAGGATGAATACAATATAAGGCTAAGATATTCTATTTAAAAAATAGTCTTAGACCTGAAAGTTGCTCCATCATTATTAAAACATTGAATGTGTATACTTAACACTTGTATAAATCACTTGAAATGGTAAACCTATGCAAATTGTAGGTTCTGAAGACAACTAGAAATGCAAAGGTGAAAAGCTTCAAGGGTGTAAATGAAAACTGATCCTAGGGAAATCTCGTAAACATTTCACTGAACGTGTTAAAAATGTCAACTTTAGGCCAGAAGGTAAAACAAATTAGGCAAAATGTTCAGTTCAGTTTACTGTAAAGCTACTTTAGACAAGAAGTGCACAAGTTTAAAAAATATTTATCAACTTCTCATCATAGTTTGACAAGGATTAGAATTCAGAAACTATTCATACCATAGTTTTCAAGGATGTCGTACAAAACACATAGGTGTCAAGTTTCATTTAGTAGTTATAACAACATATTTCCATTCAATCCTTTGAATGAATCCCTTGGTTTTACCTGTGGTTTCATTCTGAAATTATTTACATGGTGGAGGTTAGCAGATGAATTTCCGGTGTTTGTCTTTCCTTTTTCTTCCAGACAAACATCAATAGATGATAAATATTATCCGTGGCAAATGAGGTGCTCTGTATGATTCCTCAACACAGACATCAGTACGTTGATTCCAAAACACAACACAACTCGGGTCATAGATTGTATTGCTTGCCGATTTCCATTATCGTTACCGCATTGGGATTGTATTTTAATAATGACAAGAATTTGGTTAATACTGGGCGCTAATTGAAGTTCTGATAACCAGGAAAGGGGTCAGAGTTTAAAGAAGTTGCGCAGTGTTTATTTCTGTCTTACGTTATCTATCATTTGGGGGAATGACGCAAGTATCTTTGATGGTAGATTTTTACTAATCAACTTCCGTAAGTTAGTGGTGCTTCTGGGGGAGATTGAGTACCTACGTAATAGTGGGCGTTAGTATTCCTACTTTATTTATTAACTAACAGCTACTACGGCTTAATTCAACCTATATCAGTGACGACGCCTCTTAGGAAAAACAAGTGAAAAGAGATATCAGATCCTCATCTGTTGTTAAAACTATTATAATTCGCCAAAACTCTAAGCCTGATTTCTGCGTTACTCACGTGGTGACACCGTGAAACATGGCCTATGCTGGAAAGGCAGCGGTGGTCAAACACTTGGAGCCTTCTCATGACTTCTACCTTTAACGCCCATGTTTCACAGCTATACAGTAGAACAGAGCGAAATGCAGCGCAGTAGAATCGGCCCTTAATCAACAGCCGGATATCGCTGTGCCTTCACAGATGGCGTAGATTGGCGAAAGCCAGCTAAGCTTTTCGTATCCTTTCGGCCATTGCGTTAGCTACTGACTCATCAGAGCTGATCCGACTTCTCAGGTAAATGAAGTGTTTAACGTAATTAACCACTTCACTCTCTGCTGTTAGCTGAAGCACCGTTGAAGACCAGTCCTGGAGCGACAGTTTGCATTTGGGTGACGAGAAACACATCCCAAACATTGACAACTTGCCAATCAATGTTTCCAGAAGACTGAATCTTTTCATTCAACAGGACTATGTTATCTGTGTATTATAGGTCTACCGAAAATTCTCCTGTGATTAAATCACTCTATGTAAAGCCGTACGATCAGAGACAGATCTCCATAAAAACGTCTATGGTAAAACTGAATAAGAATGGAGAGAGTGAGCATCTTCGACGGTCACCACTCGATGTACAAAGCTCACGCGACATCTCTCCACATGCTCTAACACACCCACAGGTGTTTGAATAAACAGCTATCTACAGGGTGATATACTTACTCGGTACCCGTTTCATTGAGAGACATAGCCCCAAGACTTCTCGATCGACAGCATCGAATGCCACCTTCAGGTCGAAAAATACAAGTATTGTTGGGCGTCGGTAAGTGTGTTTGTGTACTAGCATTTAGTGGATTTTGAATATTTGGTCGACACACCCCTAACCAGGTCTGAAGACTGGTTATCCCGAACTTCCTATTCCCAAGTTCCAATCAAGCGTCTAACGATTAGAAAACATAGCAGTTGGACCCACGACGAGCATTTCATTCTATTTTGGGACTTGTCAGCTGTAAGTACCTGCTCCCAGTGAGCGATGTTGTACTCACCAGGACTCGAACCCGGGACCGATCACACCAAACGCTAAATCGTTATTCACTAGACCGCTGAATCATAAAAGTCACTTCTTGCGCAGTGGATATCCTCACAGGAGCCAATATATATTAATGGAGACTGATCAATTCAGTCCACTCAATGACGAAATAATACAAACAACACTATTATTACTATTTGTTGATATACTTGTAATTCGCCGTTGAACATCTAACTGACGAGTTCAGAGTAGGATGCAAAGCGCATCCTGGATTCCTCTGCTAGCTATAACCAACTAAATTATCATTTAAACGATTCTTACTTAATTATCATTCGGATTATGTAGGTAATATATTTGTAAAATCCCATTTAAGTTGAAAAATTAATTTCTGGTATTTCATGACTTCATGACTTCAGAGAAGAAGGTGTGTATAAGTTATCGCATATTTAAATAGTAGGTAGTGACAAACCAGATCACGATGTTCACACATGGTAGTAATAATATGAGAATAAATGTCATCCATATCACTTATTCGTTCGTGAGTTCATATTCAAGATTTGAATGTTTGTGCTCATGTCAATATGTATGAGAGTGTTGGGATAATAATGTGAATGCGAAATTCGGTTTTTGTATGTGTGTATTTATGTACTTTAGCTATGTATGGTGTGCAGTAGACGTCATTTCGGATATACTGTTCAAGTGGGTTGAATAATTAGGCCTTCCTTTCTGCTTAGTGCATTAGAATTCTAAGTATAATGAAATGCCTCAACTATCCGTCTTTCCAGGTAGTTTGAAAATCCTTTATGAATAACTTCAATATTTTTAATATCAATTTTGTGGCTATGAAAGATGACAATGTACAGGAACTGTCAGTTCTAATTCTAAAGGATTATTTGGCTGTCGTTTTGTGCAACTTGTATGTTCTCTTGCACCAATGAGGATTTCGCTTGAAGATTCCCCAATATAATAACCATCACAGTCGATACAACGCAAACTGTAGACAGAATTCTATGTAGAGATGAAAGGAATTCCATCTTTCAAGTGAAGTAAAGCATTCCTGACAGTGTTGGTTGTTTTGTGAAACGTCTTAATTCACTGATTCCCGAAAATCCCTTGTACCTGTTCAGTTGTTTGTTGGAGGAATGGCAGGACTACTGTACAAATCCACATCAGTACATTCGAATTAATACGTTGTACACGCCATACATACACATATATAGAAACAAACTATCCCACCACCCTGGCATACATTCACATACATTCATGCATTCATTATTCACCCTGAACTCATGAACGAATAAATAATGAGGATAACATTTATTCTCATATTGTTACTATCACGTATGAACAACGTTATCTGAATTGTCTCCATTTACTATTTAAATTTGCGATGATTTGTACAGCCCGTATTCTCTTAAAAAGCGACTTCCACGAGGTCGTGAAATACCAGAAATAAATTTTTCTACTTAAATGGGATTTTACAAATATTTTTCCTTTGTAAGAATAAAATATCTTTGAGATAAATGGGGACTTTTTATTTTTAGAAGTAGTATTCATCATAGACTGGTATCATTTAGGGAGCACTGGACAGCTGTCTCGTCCTAGTATGGGGCTCGTCAGCAGTATGCACCCACGACCCAGCTGGGGATCGAACTAAGGACCTTCAGGTTTCATGGCGAAAGCGTTAACCATCCAGCCACTGGGTTAGTTCCCAGTGTTTCACAATTTCCAACTTTTGTGAATTAGCGACATAGCGCGACAATCACTCAAGGTCTTCAGTTAGCATCCACTTCGCTTCTGACTGGTGCGTATTGCTGAGGAGTCCCATACTACGACGAAACAGTTGTCCAGTGTTCCCTGATTTTCAATGGTTCCTCAACTGATGTCAGTCCATAATCAATACTACTAAAAATAAAATGTCTGTCAAATATGCCATTGTACATTGCATTGATTTGCTAATCATTGTTTTCTTTCTCAACTAGATTCAGATTTTAATGAACGCTTTTGCCTTGTTGATGAGTACCAACATGGACGGAATCTACATATAGGCTTATTTTCTAGCTAAATCAGGAGCATCTATCAGTTATTGAGAGAAGTTGTCTCTTTCACCTACCTACCTAGGAAGGCAGCATCGTTTCA